ATATATAAGTAACTACCGGTATATAATAGGAGCCGGTAGATATAGAGGTCGGGCTAAAGACGCGAGCGGCAATATACCCGCTTCGTTTATTACTATAGGTACTTAATATTAAATAGTACTCTTACTATACCTTATAACGCTTCTATAGACCTAGTTATACTTATATATTAATATATTCTTTATAGTCTACTTTAATACCTAATCTTAATACGGCTAAAGGCGTTAAAGTAGTAGGCCGCTTATAGGAGCCTCCGTATCTACGTTTCGATAGAGACTCTATTTCCTTATTATTAAAGATAGTCTCCTATTCTAACCGCCGCCTCTATATACTAGGCTGCTTCCTACGGCCGGCTTACCGTACGCTAGTCTACTTACCCGGTCTAAGAGCTTCTATCTTACTTTTAGACCTTATCCTTATATTAGTCTTACGACTCTTACTAGCTGCTATCTAACCTCCTAGGGACTCGCGTAGTCTATTAACCGCTATGCTCTTAGGGATAGGCTATATAGTATTTTTCGGATATCCTCGAAGGCTTATTACGATCTTAGGGTCGAGAATTTAGCGGTAGGGGTTATAAGAAGTACGCTGCCTTAAGTGCTACTAAGGGTAAACGTCCTACTTTATTAAGAATGCCCCTACTTTTAATTTTCTATAGATTATATAACGATAAGGAATTCCTAACTACTAAGAGATATTATAGCCCTCCTTATAATCCCCTATAGGTTCTAGCTAAGGATAGGATCTACTTAGTATTAATTTTAAAGCGTAGCGATATTTATTAGCTAGTAGGTCGAGTCCTAACTAGGATATTATTATATAAAGCTCGCCTAGGTACTCTAACCTAGGCTTAGAGTATTTCTATGCGGTTAGTACTTTATCTTATAAGTAGTTATCGATAAAGTCTTACTCTTAGTCGATAAGTATACCCTTGAGCGCCTTAATAAGTCTATATAAATAGCTCGTTCCGTTAAGTAGATAGCTTTTAACGTTATTATTACTAGCCTCGGTGCTAGAAGTTACCTAAACCCCGAAATTATAGTATTTCTTAATAGAGTAATATGCCTACTACGCGCTTATAGGTAAATAGGTCTTATTATATTTAGGATACGTATAATAAAATACGCGGTTAATAAGCGATATTATCGAACGTTCTAGATAATATTATAAAAGCATCCTAGGTAGTAAGTAGTAAATTCGCTACTATAAGGTAGTTATATTTCCTTAGGATTATAAGGAGATAGAACTTCTTATATTTATTTTAGATTAATAATAATAAATAAGATTAACTCTAACCTTTTATTTTTTATCTCTATAAGAGGTCTTATAAAGGTATATTAAAATAGCCTGCTAGTTATTAAACTCTTTATATAGGCGCACCTATACCTTCTTATAATCCTCCTTAGTCTACGTAAAGGCTACGTACTTCTATATCTTAAGGACGCCCTAGTAGTTATAGGGCATAGGCGCGGTATAGTCGTTTTATAAGGACGGGCCGCCGTGTCCCCCTCCTAAGAGGACGGCTTCGATATCCCCCGAAGTTAACCCTATCTACGTCTATTTACTACTAGAGCTATTATCGTCGCTATCGTTATCTTTCTTTACGTCCTTCTATTTCCGTTTAGTATTAATAAAAACATTAGAGTTAATATAGTAGATATATATTTACTATTAGCTATTAGGGTCCTCGGGGAACTAGTTATCTAGGGCTGCTTTTATCTACTAATCGTAATTTATAATACCTACTTCTAGGAGCGGAATATTATACTTCTTATTTAATTGCTTAATCCCCTCTATAAGGAATTAGAACCCTTTACGTTTCTCGTTATTAATTAAACCAAATACAGTATTATAGATAGACTTAAGGTAAGTCTGCCCTATAACCTAGAAGAGCGGTAGTTTAAAGCGATTCGTATTATACGTATTATCGGAGCTTATTATTTCTAGAAAGCGTTTCTATATTTAAAGATAGTATAGGAATATCTATATAAGGCTAATAAGGCGATTAAGCTCTATTACCGACCACCTAACGATATATAGACTGCCCCTCTTATTAAAGAGCTTAATTAAGGCGGCTATTAAGCCTAAATTACTAAGCTTCTCGCGGCGTAAGAGAGCCCTAGCGTTATATATATCCTTCCTTATATAGAGCGTATTAGGGTGTTTTTCTCTAATAATACTATATATATCGCGCGCCGCGCCCTTATCCCGACCCGCCGGCTTATTACTTTAACTATTACCTTTATAGAAGTAGTTAGCCTCCGATAAATAAGATAGGCTAAGAGACTTATACTATAGTTATAGTTATATTAGCTATACTAAGGATTAGTAAATGCCTATAAAGTCTATATATAGTCGTTCTATTCTAGGGCTACCGTAATAACTTTCTACTTATAGCTATACTTACGGGAGCGTTTTTAGCAAAGACCCGAGCCCTTAGATAGGCGAGGCTTACTATACCGGTCGCACTAAAACATATATCTTATCTTTTATATACGACTACCCGAGCCGTTGCGTCTAATAACGCTAAATCCGTTTTCCTTTACGAACTCGTTTACTTAGCGTTAAAGTTTTTTAATCGATAAAGCTATAGTGCCGGGGATTAGCGGGTTAGGGATAGGCATAGTTATACCTTAGTTGCTAGACCCTATATTAGAGAAACCGCTCTATTCTTTATATTCTTCTTAGTCTCGGCTTAGCGATAGTAACGGTGCCGGTAGTAAAGGTAACGGCGATAAGACTAGGATATCTAAAGTAACCCGCTATAGACTAGATATTTAGTAATATTTAGCTAACTTAAGAGCTAGTAGAGTATCGAACTCTACTTACCGCCGGGCGAAGTCTAGGGCAGACTAAAAGCGGGTTATAGTTCCTATAGAGCCGTTTCTATCCTCTAACCTTAATTGCTCTCGTAGGCGCTATCTCTTAAGCTTATCTAGGCCTAGAATCGCTAAGGTAAATAATCGCTAAGTGCTATAGCCGCGGAAGCAGCTATCTAAGAAGATTCTTAACTATCGTAATTCCTAATAGGGTTCGTTGATACCGCGGTTACTATATAGTCTTAGGAGACTGCTAAAGAAGTTCTCTAGCTATATTATAAAACGGTTATATAGAGCGTTATTATTACTATTACCGTAGTAAAGCTCCGGATTAAATAGAGGCCGGGACGCTTATTTATACTGCCTCTATAAATAGTAGCCGAAAGGGCTAGTTTCGCTGCTTTTAAAGCCGCTTAAATAGACTAGGGTCTCCTATACTTTTATAGTAGGGTAATTAACGCTTTAATTATTTGCAGAAGACTAAAAGGCTTCTCTATATATAAATAGCTATATCGACGAAAGATAGTTATAGAAGGTTAGCATATATATATCGCGAAGATAGTATGGCTAAAGAATAGTGTGTTTTAACGTATTGTTCGCCGTGCTCTAGTATAAACAAAAGATTCTTTATTTATATTGCAGGACGGATAGGTTGCTTATCACGATTATCATGCCTCCACGACGCAGACCAGCCGGTAAGCACTGCAATATCATCACAATCGTTGGTGGTGCGAGCTTGCGAGTGACAATAAAGTGGGGCGTGGCACGGGTAATGTAAATTCAGCCTACGGCTGAATCAATCAGGATGGAGCCGGTCCTGTGGGGAAAGCTGCCAAGGAAAATATCATGCTTCAGCAGCCCAATGCCTCGAGTTTCTTGGCAGACGCGGCAGCACCTGCCATTCCATTCGAGGTGCTGCATTTTGCCTTTTTATACGAGGTGTTGTGATGAATCAAGCTCTATTTTTAGCAACTCATGTTCCCCATTGTCAATACCCCGTCAGGTGCTATCGCTATAGCTTGCCTTAAACGAATTAGAGCATGATTCGAAGTGGGCGCCCATCCTCTCATGCCGTCGTGATGACGCAGTCGGCGCCCACACACTAACAAGGGGTGTCGAAGGCGGCAGAACCCAGGCTAAGAGGCTTACCGACTGCGATATAGAACCAGGGTTACAGCCTCTCCCACTCGCGGCTCCGAGCTGAACAAAACAAATACCGGACGTGCCTGGACAATGGTCCTCGACAGCATGCGTTTGTACAGTACTGTACATATGTTTTCCTGTTTCCCGTAGCTAGACTCGATACCTATCGATAGCCTGGGCTAAAGCCCCCCTAACAGTCAGGGGCTAGGCGATTTAATCACCCCCAAGACCTCCATGCGCACCAATATGGCTGTGGGTCGCCTTGTATACATAAAGGTATCCGTACTCGTACGAGAATAGAGTTTATGCCAAAGTTAAAGCTATACGAGAATAATTCGACAGCAGGGTGGTCAACGATACATATCGACGGGGTTTTTCGATACGGGGGTATATCGTATCTGTTGGCAGGGCTCGAGCATGAGACAAACTGGGAACGTCGTTTAACCGGTGTGTCGTATTATGCTATGAGGATTGTCTATCGAAAAGGGGGAGGAGGCCACGAAGCTAGCTTTATGGCCTCAGCCGTACACGTGACTGTGTACGTAAGCTAGCTAGATAAGTACAATAGACTAGTTAATACCATTCCCATAGTATCGATATTAAAAAGTATATAAAGGTACTTTTCTATACCCTTAGTATAAATATTTAGGGGCTTAACCACTAAAAAGTTAGGCTAGTCAGCTACTTAATCCTAATACACCGCACTACGCTAAGACTACGGAAATAGGTCTTTCTATGCTTTTAATATCGATACGATGTACCTCCGTATCGAAAACCCCTATCGATACGTATCGTTGACCACCCTGTTCGACAGTAGTATATATATATTACGCAATATTAATCGAATCGTTACGAGGTATAATAGCGCATAAACTACATTTAATGCCTCGACGAGGGCATTCCAATCAACTTATCGCAATATATATACGTATCTGCCTGCCTATATAAGTTTTTAAGATCCTGCCCTCTCGACTACTCAACATCACTCAAGCCGCATACTTAACTTAGTTCGATTTTTAGCTTAATTCCTATTTCTAAATATGAAGACTCCCTGCCTTTTGGTCGCGGCCCTTGCCGGCCTTGTGCCCTTCGTTAACGGCCAGAGGCCCGAAGAGAGGGGAACCAACTGCTTCAATGGCCGTTGGGACACCCCCCAGAAATTGACCGACGAACACTACCGCTCCGTCCTCAAGAATATCGACGACGCGGGCGAAGAGGAACTAAAGATGAACAATAACGCTGAGTGGACTTTGAACTGGTTCGGATCGGAGCCGGCAGTTCGAGCGACCTTGTTTGGCAACCCGACCAAGGTTGTCAAATACAAGCAGGTGGCCGACGCTGTTCGAGGAATCCAGCGCAGATGCGGGAGTGATGGCGGTAAGTTTCCAATCGGGCCTCGCTAAGCACGTCGTTTATCTAACTTTCTTATATATAGGACGAGAGGACATTAATCTTTCGGGCGGTGAGGCTATTACCATTAAACTTACTAGACATTAAACATAATATAGCTACTATCCGTAGTAGTCTTAAACATAATCTGGGCTTTATGTCCCCGATTTCGCACCTCTAATTCGTCCGCTTCTTTCCGCTTCTCTTTAGACCTAAAAGTCGCCTCTTTCGCCTTGCCCTCCTAGCTCGAACTACCCTCTGGCCTTGTGGCTGCCTCTTTTCGTTTTAGCTCTTCAACATCAACCGTCTAATAGCCTCGTGCCCAATACGCCCATTTTGCCTATATCTCTCCCCCCTTATTTGCCGTTTTCCGCGCCTGGCATCCTTCTCTTGCCTGTAAAAGGCTTATTAACGAAGTCATCGCCACAAGCACCGTAACATCGAACCTCCGTATTCCTAACCGCTAAAAGAGACATCCTCCTAACCGAGAATGCACACGTATACGGAATAGAGATAAAAGGGGCAGCGCTTCGACGTCGGAGGGCGGCAGCATGTTCGCGGAGATGCGTCAAGGAAGCATAAACGGAGCGCCGAGATGCAGAAATAGCACGCGCGGCGGCAGACACGAAAGACCAACATACGGGGGCAGATCGGGGGCGGGGCAGCCGATATAAAAGGAGCTCGGAGGATCCCACCTCATCTTAGCTAAATCAGGCTCTAGTTACTCGTGCTACGCCCTACTTTTCTAGATGAGTATTGCTATTTACACAATAGCATATTGCTGTTTGCACACTCGACCTATTTTTAAGATACGTACTAAAGCCAGCCCGCCCCGCCCATTTGTACCGCGCGCGCCTGGCAAGTACCCGTACCGCCTAAATGCCCGCACCCGCGCCTGCGCCCGCCCGCACACACAACCTACACGCACACAACCCACACACATATACCAAATTTGAAGCTATCACCAGCGCTGCGATGCCCGGCAAGAGATGCGACAAAGGCGTCAGTTCCTTAGGCAGACTTAGCTCGGGGATCTTAGTGTGAAAATCACCTACGAAGCAGTTAACCTACTTGCTATATAATATAGGCTTGCCCTCGCCGCGATGCCTTTACTAACGCGGAGCTATAGCTATTGCGGCCTTGTTTAAAAAGCATAATGTTCTCTCGCGATGGTGGCTTAAGAAGCCGTTAGTAAAGACCCCCCCCCTTTTTAGGTAAATTTAATACTAATTACTACTATTAGGACCTCGAGGAGCTATTGCTACGAATCCGCGACCCCGACGTTGTTACTATTACACGCGGCCGGCCCCGTAATAATAAGCTACCTATACCAAGCTCCCTCACAGCGAGGGTATCACAGACAGCATCACAGACGGCATCACAGACGGCATCATAGTCACAGCCGGCTATAAGGGCATCCCAGCTACCTAATTCGAGTTAGGCTAGCTCAAGGCGGCTCAACGCAAGCGTTCGAAGGCGCCGGGGGCGCGACGAGATTGATGAACTTAGCTATAGCCCGCGGTCTCTCGCAGCGTCACAACAAGGATCATCAGCTCGAGGAAATACAAGGGGAAGGGGATCAAGAGGACGCGGCAGGAGGGGCGCGCCGCCGGCTTCGTTAGGGCAGCCGGCTTCGTCAGGGCAGCCGGCTTCGTCAGGCGTTAGAGGGATCGTTGAGTGGGATGCAGGCAACGACGACGCCGCCGCCACAGCCGTAAGGGCCAGGAGCCGGGTTAATTGACGGGCCGATTATTGCAACTTCGAGCTCAAGGCCCGGAAATGCGTTATTTGAGCGAATTAAGAGGCATGCATTATGTGGCCTTTATTGCCTCTTATGTGTGTGCGGGTTGTGTGTGTGCGCGGGCGGGCGCAGGCGCGGGTGCGGGCATTTAGGCGGTGCTTGCCAGGCGCGCGCGGTATAAGGGCGGGCGGGCTGGCTTTAGTACGTATCTTAAAAATGGGTCGAGTGTGTAAATAGCAATATGCTATTGTGTAAATAGCAATACTCTTCTAGATTCCGGCTCACCTTTAGTTTAGTTTAGTTTAGTATATTTTCCCTCTAGTAACTTTTAGTCGCTTAGGTCTCTATAGGGGAGCATAGGACGTGCTAAGCTAATAGGTGTCTATATACTATATATTATAAACTTTACCTACTATCTAGTATTTTATCGGCTTAATAGCGCTTATAATAAACCTATTACCCGTTAGCGGGACGTCTAAGTACTAAGAGAAAGCTATCCTATAGTTAGATTAGCTAATTTACTTCTAGGGCCTTATAGCCCTTAATAACCTCGGCGATCGTATAGTCGCGAGACCTTAACGCCGCCCGAGATCGGAGTAGGTAATAGAAAGAATTAAGAGGAAAAGGTAGGGTAAGAGAGGAGAATAATAACCTTTTAGTAGCGTAGGTAGATCCCTCTAAAAAAGGAGCTTGCTTTTACTAGCCTAACGAATTTATTAAAGTCCTTACTAATTACGCGGTTAATAGCTATAGCTAGCTAAGGTATAAGCCGTATATAATACCTTAGCGTAACCTTTCTATAGTAAAAGATATATACTAGCTCTTTTCGTTGTCTATATAAGTACGTTAGTCGCGTATCGTTATAACTAAACCTTTCGTAGTAGTTAGTAAAATCCCTATAGTAGGTTCTTACTATAAGTAAGTTATAAAGTAAGGGCTAAGAGAGCGCTAATTTTAATAGATAGCTAGTTTTAGCTTTAAGCCTTAGGTCTCTATATCGCTCCGGTATAAAGGCTTCCTACTAGGCCTTAAAAGCCTCTTTTAGCTACTATTAAGCAATCTTTTATAGGTACGCTAAAGTTAGGACGTTATTAGTAGGTTCTAGTAGTAATACTCCTACCTTTACTAGAGTATTAGCCTCCTCGTTACCTAGGATATTAGTATAGCTAGGGATCTAATAGACCTCTATAGCTTTATATTTTTACGCTAAAGATTAAAACTTAAGGAAGACCTCTTATAAGGAGTCGCTTAGCGTATATAAGAGTCTTTAACTATTATAGGTTATAGGCTTAAGCTACGGCCTAAGCTATATAGTTACGTATAAAGGGCCGGATCCTATATATATATATATAGGCTAGCCGCGTATAAGAGAGCTCTATATAGCTTATTAATATTATCTTATAGATAGCACCTATACGTACGCCTTTACTTACTCTATAATAGTATAAGCTATTAATTAATAGATCTAATAGATATCTCTTAGGAGAGGGCGCCTCCTCCTTAAGGAAGTACTCCGCCCCTCCTTAGATAGATAGGAAGTATTATAGCTATCCTAGAAGCGATTAAAAGCGCGATAGCTAGCGAGAAGGACGAGGTTCTCGCTATACTAAGGGAGCCGTCTACGAGACTAGCTTTAACCCTTATAACCTCCGTAACGCCGGTTATAGCGGTAATACTACCGACGTAGAAGCCGCTCCCTTAGCCGACTTAGGACGGTAAGCTAAAGTCCTTTTACTTCTACCTTAGCTAGCTATAGATAAAGTTTATAACCGATAAGAAATAGGGCCTAAATAGCTATTATAATATAGTATAGTATTCGCTCTTTTATATACTACTAAAGCCTTAGATATAGCGGATCTCTAGATTCTAAGATAAGGGCGGCCCTAGGAGTAGACGTAACTTATAAGACTTCTTTTAATACCTTATATATACGTTCGGCAACGTATAGGAGTAGGAGAAGGTATAAGATTAGCTATAGACCCTTAAGTAAAGAGATAGATAAACCTTTAGCGAATTCCTTTTTAATTTTAAAGAGACGCTCTTATAGGTAGTAGGGACTATAATATAGGAAGATAGCGTAAAGCTTATATAGCTATAGAATTTAATTACGCTAGCTCTATAAGAGCTACTTATCCCTATAATTATACTTACTAACTATAGCGAGTATATAAGCTAATTAATAAAGGTAGTATAAGGCTATAAGTAAACGCTATGTTTTTAAAAGCTTTATAAGTATATACCGTATAATAAGGATAGGATTACCGCCCCTTTATAAAATAAATAACTAGCTATTAATATAGATAGGGATACCTTAATATCGGCTACTTATATAGACCGGGCTAGACGCGGTAAGAAGACGCCGTCGACTACCCCCTATACTGCCCTATACTTTAAGTAGCGGGCGAAGTAAGTAACGAGTAAGGAAATCGGAAAGAAAAAGGCTAACGGCCGCTGCCTATATTACGGCGTATCTATATACTTTATATTAAAATACCCTTTCCTTTTAGCTAAGCAGCCTATAGCGGTTTAAGTAGTAAAGATAAAACCGCTTCTTACCTTAGATAATAAAGAGGACTCCGCCCCCCTAGGCCTAAAGGAAAAAGAGTAGCTCTAGAGTAAAGATAGGCTCTAGAGCCCTAATTACTAGCACTAGTAAAGGAGAAAGAGGAATTATCCGCCTATATAAAAGAAGAGCCTACTTTAATATAGGTTATAATTAATAACTCCTTACTTATTACCGCCCTTATAGATAAGGGCTATTAATACTACGCTATAGTTAATAAGGCGCTTATATAAGAGATATAAGTACTAGTAGAAACGATCGCCCTAAGGCGAGTAAAGGGCGCCTTAAGTATAATAGAGGGTATAGTAATTAAGCGTATTATATAGCTAGCTATAAAAGTTAATAGTTACTATAAGCTTATTATAGCCTATATAATCCCTTAACTAAAGTTTCCCTTAATCCTTAGGAAACCTTAGTTATTATATATAGAGTTATACTTAGTTTATATAAGAAGGTATAAGCAATAAGCGTAGAATCGGGTAATTAATAACGTAAGCGGAAGGATCGGTCGAAGAAGTATAGGGTAGGATTTCGTCCGGAATTTATAACGAGCATATAAGGGGCTGAATAATATATTAAAAGAATAGCGTTGCAAAAGATACTTATAAACTTACTTATTCTATCTACTACTCCTAGGGAAATCCTTCGTCTTTTATAGACTATTGCTCGCCTACTAGTAGAGCAATTAGTTAGCTTTCTAGCACATTCTA